GTGAAATCGCTGCTCCGATTCCGCTGCGCTCCCACGCCATCCAAATCGTTCGTTCCGTGTGTGCGTGTGTGTGCGTGCGTGTGCGTGCGTGTGCGTGCGTGTGCGTGCGTGTGCGTGCGTGTGCGTGCGTGTGCGTGAGTGAGAGTGTGTGTGCGTGAGTGTGTGTGTGTGTGTGTGAGTGCATGCGTGTGTTGTGTGTGAGTGTGCAATTGTATACGTGTGTGAGTGTGCAATTGTATACGTGTGTGTGTGCAAGTGCGTGTCGATGTGGCGCTGCTGTTTGATGTCGCTGCTGTCGTTCTTGGTCCTGGCCTCAACGCATACTTGTTTGGCTGCAATGGTCGCATGACCCGCGGCTCACCCCTCCCGTTCCCCCTCCTCCCTTCTTCGCTGCTCACCTTGCACGCCTCGTGCAACGCGTGTTTGCTTGTTGATAGCATGGCGAGGAGACAGAAAACAAACCAGTCTCAAAGACAGACAAGGATGCAAGCACTCTGGGCAGCACGCCCCGCTCCAGTCAACAGAAGCTGGCTGTGGTGTTGGATCCTGTGCAGGTCATCGACATGCAGCTGACCCCACGCATCGTCATCAGCCAGCTGGAGTCCGACGATCCAGCAGAGGTCAACAAGGCCATCGAGCACTGCATCTCAATTGCACAGGTACTTTTGCCCCCACCCCCCTCTGCTCATTGTCCTTCCTGACCCTGCAGCGAATTGGCACCAATGCTCCCTTCACAATCATTCATACGCACTTACCCACGCACTCGTACATGCACTTGCACAAACGCGTTATGGACTCGTTCGTACCCCCTCCCTCACTTTCTCGCACACACACACACACACACACATCCCATTTCTCCCGTTGTAGTACAACCAGGCGCAGTTGTCCCAAAAGGCGCGATACACGCAGCTTCTGATACATTCTGCGCTGACGTTTGTCGACAGCACCAAGTACCCTGCGGTGAACGATGCCATCCGCGCGTTTGAGGACATCTTCTCCATGACCCGCTCATCACCATCACCCACTCCATCTCCGTCGTCCTCGCCACCCACTCCAGCATCTCCGCCAGCACTGCAATTGGCGCACGCGGACGCCGCCGTTGCCGAGCTGTCCATGCTCAGTGACTTGCGGCGCGCCATGTTCACGCTTGCCAGCATGGAGACCGAACCCTCCGCTGTGCCGCTCCTCACCCTCCCGCTTCGCATCCACGACCCATCGGCTGCTGTCGACACGTTCCGCCCGAGCGCGGCGGCCATCGACCCCAGCATCGCCCGCTGCTTTGTTGGCCAGCCCAACGCGAACGCGTGCCACCTCTTTGAGCAGCACGGCGCGGGCGTGCCTGGCGCGTTCCTGCTGCCAATGGCGCCCAGCCGCCGCCGCCGCTCCCCGCTCGACCCGCCGGCCCGCACAGACACGAGCGAGGCCCCGCAGCACATCGTGTGCACCGCAAAGCCGGGGCCACTGGTGCTTGGGCGGCGCGCCAACGACGCCCCAGGCATCATCAGGAACTTGGACCCCTCCACGCTCGACACGTGCGCCGTCTTTGAGCAGGAGCCCGGCACCCCGCCTGATGACGTTTCAGGCTTGCCGCGCCCCAAACCCCGCAGACCGCATCAGCACCACCACCACCAGCGGCGGCAGCGGCAACAGCAGGAGGCGCTTCAGGCCCAGTATGGCGGCTACGAGCGGCTGCTCGGGGAGCACCTGGTCGCCCTCGTCCCCGCACAGGAGCACGCCTTTGCCTGCATCGATTTTGTCGACCAGCACTATGAGATGCGCTTCTTTGACATTTCGCAGCAGCAGCAGCAGGCTGCCTGCACCGAGCCCAAACTGGTGTTCCGCGCCGTGCTGTGCATGCCGCTCACGCTTGGCAAGAACATCATGGTACAGGTGTCCCTGGCCGACTTCCAGGTGCAGAAGAACCAGGGCGTTGCGTGGCCTGTCAACATCCTCATCAACCCCAAGGCCAGCAAGAGCCAGAGTGGCAACGGCAACGGCAAAGGCAGCAGCGGCAGCAGCGACAACGGGAAAGGCAGCAGTGAGAACGAAAGCCGTGAGCTGACCGATTCTGACATGCTGTTCCTCCTCCCCAACGGCACCGTAACCACGTCCACAGGGTCTCTCATGTCCTCCATTGCACCCGGTGAGCATGTCAAGGGCATCTCCACCACGGGCAAGCGCGGTGGCATCGTCGTGCACACCACCGCCGGCGTCATCAGCATGAACAAGGACACCACTGCCTTTGAGCACCTGCGTGGATACCCGACCCCACACGCGCTTGAGCACGTCGCTCTCTATGGCCGCCAGAATGCTGTCGTCGGCGTGACCAGGAGCGGCGCGCTGGTGCTGCGGCATGTGCGCGTGTGCGAGGGTTTGTGGAGCCCCGTTGTGCCCGTGATCATTGACCGCCAGTCCCCAGACAGCCTGTCGTGCCGCCCAGCGCGCCCGCTGCTCCTGCGGCTGCACGGCACGGCCACGGCCGAAGTTACAAACGTGCACGTGACCGACACGCACGCGACGGTGACGGTTCGTGTGGCGGCGGAGCACGAGGCCATGGCAATGCAGCACTTGACGCTGACGGGGAGTGCCGTCGAAGCCGTCGCCATCGACAAGGAGCAGGGACCACCCGCCATGACAAGCACGGGTGCTGACGGCGATGGTAACGCCAACAGTGGCGGTGGTGACGATGCTGCCAGCAAGGCCGGTGGGCAAACGGGTCTTGCTGGCAAGGGGAAGCGGAGAAAGCAGAAGGCATCGGGGCCACGCGTGACGCTGGTGATAAAGGCGCGGCTGGGTGCTGTGCACGAGTTTGGGAAGCCCGGCTCCATTTCGGGCCGCGCTGGACCTGCTATGGCCGCGATGATGCAAGGGGAACAGCCAACCATCTCACTGGCGTCCAAAGAAGACGCGCTTGCGCTCGTGCACCATGTGTCGGCGCCAGTCCGCGACATGCACACGGAGGAAGTGACGGCCGACTCGCCCTTCACCCAGGGTTCGAACCTCAAGTCGTCGGAGATTGGCATGTCTGGGAAGCAGCTGTGCAGCTCAGCGGCGTGTTTCTCTTGGTCCTGGCTCATCACAGATGAGGGCAACCTCAGCTTTGGCGTCAGCAGAGTCGCTGAAGTACGTTGGCATGGGTGTTTGTTTGCTTGTTTGTTTTGTTTGATTGTTTGATTGTTTGTTTGTGATTGTCTGTGTGTGATTGTCTGCGTGTGATTGTCTGTGTGTGTTTGATTGTCTGTGTGTTTGTGTATGTCGATTGCTCAGTGTCTTCTCAACTCATTTTGGTCATCTCAACTTGATGTGACATTGCGCTGTTTAATAGTCATCGATTGCTTCCATTGTGTTCGCCGCCGAGCCGCCGGCAGCCAATTTCAGCCACCCGCTGCAATGCGCCCTTGTGGTTCGTGATGTGTTGTTCTCTCGCGTGCGCACTTAGTTTGACACGGGCTTCTCCGCGCTGCTCTGCTTGTTGCAGCTGGCACACATGTGTTGTTCTCTCGCGTGCGCACTTAGTTTGACACGGGCTTCTCCGCGCTGCTCTGCTTGTTGCAGCTGGCACACACACACACACACACACACACACACACACACACACACACACACACACACACACACACACACACACACACACACACACACACACACAACGCATGTGCATGTGCAGACGGCACGCATTGTGTTTTTCGCTGGCTGGCACTACTTTGAGGTCATTGTGATGCCGCCACCGCCCTCTGTCAAGGATGACCCGAGCTACGAGGGCAGTGGGCGCATGTGCGAGACAACTGCCTCCTACCGCATGCGCCTGCCCAAAATCGAGGGCACAGAGCGCCTGTACGTCCGGCTCAAAGCAAAGGCGCGCGCCAAGCCGGTGGCGTGCCCCATCGGGCCGCACTCGCCCTTCCATCTCAAGCACGTCAGCGGGGAGGCGCCTGCGGAGGTCGCGCTCGCCAAGACGCGAGCGGTCGACGTGGTGAGCGGCAGCAGGCACGCGCTGGTGCTGACGAGCAGCGGCGCTGTCCTCTCTGTGGGTAACAACGCCTTTGGGCAGTGCGGGCGGTCCACTGCCCACCGCGGGCTGCGGGTGCGGCGCGGCGTGTGCGACCGCGAGGGCCACCAGATGTACCCGGACGAGATGAAGCACGTATGCACGTCATGTGGGCGGTGGGGCGAGGACGCTGCGTCGGAGACGAGCGAGGAGTGCGCTCTCACGCCGGGCCGCCGCCGCGCCAAGGTCGCCACTACCTCCTGCGTCCGCTGCTACCGCTGTGCAGACTGCGTCGACAAGAAGCGCCTGCTCACGGACACGCTCCTGGACACGCTGGACGCCTACGTGGCGCTGGGCGCCATTGAGCTCCCGTTTGCCCGCTGCGTACAGGTCGCCGCGGGCCGCTTCCACTCTGTGTTTCTGTCGCAGGACGGCGATGTGTACACGTGCGGCCTGAACAACGGCAACCAGCTTGGCCGCGAGCTCGCCTTTGAGCCGGCGCAGGAGGGCTTTGGCCAGCACGTGCCCTGCCTTCCCCACACCAGCGCCACATTGGCAAAGGTGACGCTGCCGGATGCGGCCTCCTCCCCGGTGCTGCGCGTTCGGGCGTGCGGCGATTTGTCGCTGCTGCTGACGAAGAGCGGCCACGCCGTCGTCTGCGGCGGGTTCCTGCCGAGCAAGTGCATTGATCTGCAAGCCACGCTTGGCGTGTCGCTGTACCTGAACAACGCTCGCCCCGGCCAGCGCCACACCGCACCCGGCGACTCGCAGCTGGAGGTGTTTGTGCGCAGCGACAAGCAGGTGGTCGCCTTTGCCCACACCGAGTGGCTGCAGGATGCGCAGGAGAAGACGCGGGTGATTGGTGGCGTGTGCACAGACTACGTGTGTCTGCTGCGCCAGACAAGCCCCCGCCTCAAGCCAAACGTGTGGGAGTACGTTCGTGTCTTCAAGAGCGAGCTGGCCAGTCTCCAGAAGCCATCGAGGTGAGCGGCACACACATCGTGGTCTGGCGTTGTCTTCCTGCCTGTCCGTTTGTTTGGTTTGGTTTGGTATATTGGGTCGTGTGTGCATGCTTGTGTGAGTATGTGGTGCTTGTGTGTGCGCGCGCATACATTTCATGTGGTTGCTTTTGTTGTTACGGTGTTGTCCGCCCGCCCAGCCCCTCTGTGCTTCCACTTGCACTCACGATGCCTACACGTTCCCACCTCTGCCCTGGTCGCTGCGTCCAGCTGCACCATCACCTTTGACGATGACTTTGAGCCTGTTGGCTTTGTGCCGGAGCTGCCCGTCGTGTTTGGCTGGACCAAGTCCTCCCCTGATGCCCACACCAGCAGCAGTAGCAGTAGCAGCAGCAATGCCACCGCCAGCACCGCCAGGACGAAGCACGCGCTGCAGTTCCGGCTCATGCACGATGCCCCGCTGATGGAGCAGACAATTTTGTCGGCCAACAAGCAGGACCCGCTGTTGGCCAAGACCATCGCCAACATCACCCAGCTCCTGCACAACCCGTTTTTCACCAGCGGCGAGGCAGAGCGCCTGCGCCGCGACCTCTTACCGTCGCTGCGGCAGTCGGCGCGGTCGGCGGCATACGCGTGTGGGATGCACATCAAGCGCTCTGCCCACGCCCTGACAGCAGTGGGCATGCGCCCCGAGGACCACATGCCCGAGTTTGACTTGGCAACCATCACCATCGTCGTCAACACAGGTGTTGTTGCGTTGCGTTGCGTTGCGTCACGCATGTGTGTGCATGAGAGGAGGATGTGTGTGTGTGTGTGTCGCGCATGTGTGTGCGTGAGAGGTGGATGTGTGTGTGTGTGTGTGTGCTTTGCGTTTGACTGCACTCACATGCGTGTGCCATGGAGCGTGACACATCCACCTAACTCCCATTGCGCGTCCGCTTGTGCGGTCCACTGCAGCGTGCCTGGTGAGGTTCGCGCTCAAAGATGCTGAGGTGAGCAGCAATTCCTTTGGCGACACGCCGCGCAGGCGTCATCTACTGGCGCCCAACACGCCGTGCACGGTGACCATCCGACGCAAGGGCCATAGCCCGTGCCAGAGCGCCTTTGACTGCGAAACGGTGCTGCCAGCTGTTGTCGCTCGGCTGGAGAGCACCAGCCGCTTCGTCTGCGGCCTCCTTCGAATCGACATCACAGAACTCTCGCCGGTGAGCGTGTGGGACTAAGCATGTGCTTGCATGTGCGTGTGGGTGTGGATATGAATGTACATGTACATGGTGGAGCGTGTTGTATGAGTACACGTGCTTTCACATGCACACACGTGCTTTCACATGCACACACGTGCTTTCACATGCACACATGTGATTGCCGGCGGTTTCATTGTCTCACACGAACGCAACCCTCCGCCTTGCCTGTCCCCCCCCCCGCCCCATTTCATCTGCAATCACCACTGCAACGGCCTACCAGCTTGAGCATGCGCTGCTTCCACTGGAATTCAGCCTGTTCTGCACGTCATCTGCGGTCGCTGGCGCGTACGATGCTGCCACCGCCCTGCGCACCCACCTCGCTGCAGCTGCAGCAGGCTCCAGCACAGACACGACACCGCAGGGGCACATGACAAACGCAATCATCGCCCAAACGCAGCTGGCGGCCATTGCGGTGAACATCTCGCTGCTGAGCAGAGAGGAGCAGCCTGTTCGCCAGGGCGCGTTGCACCCGGACTTGCCCGGCCTGCTGAGCCGCTGCCTCATGCAGGTTGCCGAGCTCAAGGTGTCTGCACAGGGGGCGGACCTGCAGCAGTGGCAGCGCGCCTTCCATCAGCTCATGGACATTGTTGTCATTCTCACCGACCGCAACTCCCTGCTGAAGCGTGCGCTGGAGCAGTTTGCCCGCCTGGACGCGCGAGAATCGTTCACGCTCGCAGACGTGGCACAGGCGGAGGTGGTTGCCTTCACCCTCAACCGCTGCTGGGAGCACGTGTCATCCGAGGACCTGTTTTCTGTCCTCGGCATCTCCACGCTCGGCACCGTCGACGACGCAGACAAGCTTGTCTGCCTCTTCCAGAGCTTTTTTGACTTTACCAAGAAGACAGGTCCAGGCCGTGGTGGCGGTGGTCGTGTGTATCTGTTGGCGTGGCTATGTTGGCCTGGCTATGTTGGCGTGGTTGTGTGTATCTGTGGTGTGGTTGTGTGCTTGTGGTTGTCGGTGTGCAAGAGGCGCCCATGAAGGGTTTGATTCTGCTGCGAGTGGTTTGTTTGGGAGAGAGTGTGTGTTTGTTGTCACTACAAGAGTGGCTTGTGCCCATGTTCATACCAAAGCGATGGCTCACCTGCACACCCGATATCATTGCTGTTTGCTGTGTGAATGACAGGCGCGTCTGCTCGGACACAGTTTTTCCTGCTAATTCGTTCGTGCCTGCAGGCAATGGTGCAGTGGACCGGTGACCATGCGGACAAGAAGGGTGCCGCCGTCTTCCTGACAGAGCTTCTTGACTTGCTCCTTGATGAGGTGCCGACCCATTGTGCATGGCGGCGATCTTGCTTCTTGCACGTTGAGCGCGTAACTCTGTGTGTATCGTGCGTGCATGCGTGTGCGTGCGTGTGTGTGTGCCCAGTCTGTGCTGGTGCTCTGCGTGCTGGTGGTGGGCTGCTACTCTCGCATGCTACATCGCTGATGGCGCGTGCTGCTCATGTGCTGCTCATGTGCTTGGGTGTTTTTATTCTTGTGTTCAAATCACCCCCACCACCATCAAACTTCATCGTTGTCAGCTGACCGCCATCAAGGCGGGCGGCAACGCTGCAAACGAGATGGAGCTGCTGTCATCGTTGTCGTCGCTGCTGCGCGTGTGCTCCAAGTGGGTGAACAACCTCGGCAGTTCGAGCAAGGCCCCCATTGAGCGATTGCTCAGGTCCCTCATCGGCATCTACACCGTTGTTGCCGGCACCAACCGCGACGCCCTCGCACAACAGCCCTCCCCATCCCAGCAAGCAGGTTCGTGTTACGCAGGCGTTTTGCAACTGCATATGCATGCATGTGTGCGTGGATGCGTGAGTGCATGAACACGTGCCTTGCGCGTTTGGTGTGCGTACGCGCTTTGTTGTGGTTGTGCGTGTGTGTTCGTGTGGTGATGGAAGCAGTGTGATGTAGTGCAACAGCGCGCCCTTGACACCTCGCCTCGCTGGTTGCTTGCAGATGTGTACGGGTCCGAAGCGTTTGGACACGTGTGCACAGTCGAGAGCGCCCACCCGTACACACACGGACTGGTCGAAGTCAAGCACGTGTCGTTCAAGAAGGTGGGGAACAAACACGAAACACAAAGCACACACGGCGGGTGGGGGCTTGGCTTGGCTTGGGATGGGCGCTGCACCTCATGCCTCTTTACGATGTTTACTTCGAGATGCATCTCACATCATATCTCACCACGCTCACCGCTGTCACGCGCACACACGCACGCACGCACACACACACACACACACACATAGCCGTGCATGGTGGCAATTGGGTTCCACAGCAGCTGTTCGCTTGCATCACCAGAGGACCGCCTGAGCATCGTTGCAGAGACAGAAGCGGGAGACAAGGTACAACAACCAGTGGCATGCGGTTGTAATGAACTGCTGTTGCTCGGTGTTGTCAGGCCATGTCGCTTTAAGACCAGCGTCTTCTCACTGCTCATGCCTCCCATGTTCGTGCTGCCTTTGCTGCGGGTGGTCCATGTGCAGACGGTGACGGTGACGGGAAGCGACACGTTCCCCGAGGCCTTCCAGGTAACACCTGCGACGCGCGTGACGTTTCGCCTGGAGACGACGACGCGGGAGGGCGGCAGTGCCGAGGACGACAGCGCCGCATTTGGGTACCGGTGCCAGGTTGTGGCGTTTCCCATCACTGCTCTCGACAAGACTGTCGACTCGCCAACGCGCGACACCATCGAAACACAGGCGAGCTCTGTGTGTGTGTGTGTGTGTGTGTGTGTGTGTGTGTGTGTGCGTGTGTGTGCGGTTGTGCGTGCATGTTTGTTGTGTGTGTGTGTGTGTGTGAGTGTGTGTGCGTGTGCGTGTGCGTGTGTGTGCGGTTGTGCGTGTATGTTTGTTGTGTGCGTGTGTGTGCGTGTGTGTGTACGTGTGTGTGCGTGTATGTTTGTTGTGTGTGAGTGCGTGTTACATGTCATGCTCGGACACAGTTGCATGCGTGTTTGTGGTGTGTGTTTGCCTTGGGATTGAAGTGCCAACACTGACCGTTTGTGCGATTGCTGTTCCATTTTTCTTTTCACTGCTTGCTCTTCACGTGCAGCTGGCGGATGTGACGATCAAGCTGTGCAAGCGGGTGCTGGGTGATGTCACTTCGGACAAAGATGAGGCCCAAGTGGCACAGGTTGCCCTCACTTTCAACCCGACGTTCCATGGACAGGCTGTCAAGTGCGTTGGCATTGGCCTGTGTGTGCTGTGATGTGTGTGTGTGATGTGATGTGTGTGTGATGTGATGTAATGTGTACGCGTATGTGTGTGTGCTGTGATGTGTGTGTGCGTGATGTGATGTGATGTGTATGCGTATGTGTCTGTGCTGTGATGTGATGTGTGCTGTGCTGTGATGTGATGTGTGCGTGTTAGTTTCATGTGCGCGTGCGTTGAACTGAAGTGTGGTGCTCTTCTTGCTGTGATGCGTGTGTGTTAGTTTCATGTGCGCGTGCGTTGAACTGAAGTGTGGTGCTCTTCTTGCTGCGACGCGTGTGTGTGCGTGCGTGCGTGTCAGGATCGAGGACCGTGCGGCGGCGACGAAAGCCGGGCGCGTGCCCGGTCAGATTGCAGAGCGGCCGGAGGGACACAACCGCGCCTGCTGCTTCTCGCTGTTTCCCATTGCCCTCAAGGACGAACGGAAGGAGTTTGCAGTCGAGGTGATGGAGAGCGACGCCGCAAAGTACGTACGAATGCCAAGCGAATCGTGCCTGACATGTGGCGATGGTTTTTTTTTTTTTTTTTTTTTGGTTTTTTGAGTCATTTCTTTCGTCCCGGCTGTGGAGATCATGCACACACAACAAGTGAAACAAAACACTCGTTTCGCTTGTGCACATGATCAGAACGCGGATAGCTCACGCCACCCCCTGCGCACCTTCGCCTGTGTTTGCTCATTCTTGCGTTGCACCGCTACCTAAAGGGCTGGAGGGATGGCGATGGGGTTTGTTGTGATGCCGAAGATGGAGGATGAGTATGAGAAACCGCCACTGCAGCGCCTCTTCAAGTCCATTCCGTCATCCGCTATTCTGGTGCGCTGGATTGAGAACGCGGGATGGTGGGGGGTGTACAAGTGTGTGCATGTGCATGTGTGTGTGGAAATGTGTGTGTGTGTGTGTGTGTGTGTGTGTGTGTGTGTGTGTGTGGAAATGCGGACAAGCCAGTATTGCTTGCGCATGCTATCGTGTCTGTGTGTTTGGGACGTTGCTTTCAAATTCTCACCCACATATCCCCACACCGACGCACACACGACCTCACATTGGTTCCCAGATCAATGAGAATTCGCTGGTGTATGTCGCCAACTCCGAGGCGTACAAAGGCAACAACAACCTCGGCACTGTCAGCAAGGAGTCAAACTTCCTCCACCTCAACACCGTCACTGCCGGGGAGAAGGTAGGTGTGGTGTGGTGTGTGTATGGTTGCGCTCATGTGTGATTTCGTACCGGCACTTTGCACTGGTGTTACATGTCATGACACTGGCCCTTTCCATCTGCCCAACTGTGTTGTGTTTCGGTTTTGGTCAGATCAAAATGTGGGCCAACAAGGAAGGCGAGCTGTTTATCCAGGGCCCATCCCAGAAGGACCCAGCAAAGATCCCACTTCCAGCTAAAGGTACGCGTGCACATGCAATCAAAAACGCAACCAGTGTTGGCACACACACACACACATACATACTGAAAAATCTCTTCTGCACCTTGCTTCCTCCATAAATGTGCGTGGTTGTGTGTGCAGTGGACATTGAGCAGGACCTGTATGCGTTTGTGGATGTGTATGGGCGAACGCAGCGCGTGAAGATGACTGGCACGAGCGAGGTGCGGCTGGAGCACGACCCAGCATACCCGCGCTCGGCACCCTGCCCCTTCTGCAAGGCGGCCATGGTGATGACGCGCGGGTACGCAGACGTCACCTGCGAGTACGGCCAGCAGGTGTGTGATGGAGGCACGTGGTGCGTGTGACTGTTCGCAGGCTCTCCTGTCGTCCATGTGTGTGTGTGTGTGTGTGCGTTGCTCAGGGACTTGGTTCCTTCTTGACCATGCTTCTATGACCTCAATGTTGTTCTCGATGCTCAAGCACTGCGTCCCATGCATGGATTCCACCGAACTATTCGCCCGCGCACTTGCCCGCTTGCGTTCATGCTTCTCGCTCCCCCTTCCCATCGCTCCCCCTCTCCAAATCTCGTCCCTGCATATGTGTGTGTGTGTGTGTGTGTGTGGCCAGATTCCGTTTGGTGCGCGGTACATGCTGTGCCCCAAGTGCTTGACCACGAGCTCTCTCAGCGGCGCATTTGCCATGCAGCGCAAGGTCAACACGGGACTTGTCGAAAGTGAGTGCAGATTCTGTTTTCGTCACTCTCACCTGTTTTCACCTGGCACCGTTAGACGCCACTCGCCGCTTGTCGCTTGTCGCTTGTCGCTTACTTGTGCCCATTTCTGCTACTGCTACTGTTGCTCCTTCTTCTCAACTACTGCTGCTGCTGCTGCTGCTGCTGCTGCTGCTGCTGCTATGGCCCTTCAGAGCTTGTTCCCATTGCCAACATGGCCTTCACCAAGCTTCGTCCGGGCGTGTTTGCCCTTGACACCACATTTGATCGCGGCCTGGTGCGGGGCGTTGTGCTGTGATGCTCTGTGTGCTGGTGTGGTGTGTGGCATTCTTGTGGCGTGGTTTGTTGTGGTTGTCGTGTATTCGTTTGTGCGTGTGCTCTGACTGACACCAGGTGCACCGCAACAGCGCTCATCCTCACCCTCGCCTGCTCTGGCCCATTTGTCACGGTGTGTTGGCAGCTGACGTGGGAGCTGCAAGTGCTGTCGCATCGTGTGTGTGCGCTCGGTGTGCAGACGCCGACGCAAGCCGCCCTGAAAAAGCCGCTTGGCGTGTTTATCGACTGCAAGGCAGATGTGCTGCAGTACGGCAAGGCCACGCTCATGCCGTGGCCGCCGACAGAGCGCACACCGCGGTCGTTTATGTTTGTCCTCGACTGCAGCAGTGGCGTGCTCACGGTGGCGGAGCGGAATGGCCCAACGAAAACGCTGCAGGTGGCGCCGGGCTCCCAGCCGTGTGTCTGTCTTGACGACGACAACGGCAGCGGCGCTGGCATCCATGACAGCAATGCTGCTGACAATGCTGAGGATGGCTCGACCAGCGACGCCTTTGCGATCACAGACCACGTGCGCATCGCAACGCTCGCGTGGAGCTACGGCGTGCCTGGTCAGTGTGTGTGTGTGTGTGTGTGTGTTTGGACGTGTGTGTGTGTGGACGTGTGAGCATGTGTTTGCGCTTGCGGGGGTTGTCTCTCTCTCTCTCTTGTGTGTGTGTGTGTGTCGTGTGTGTGTG